CACTTAAAAAGATGAGAGAGGCCTGTAATTTTCATCCTAGGTACACTTCAACTATGAGAGACAGAATGGGGGGAACGAATCCAGGAAATCACATTGTAGGATTTTTTAATGAATGAATTGGTAAATTCCTCGGTAAAATAAGTATTTGGTCACCTTCAAACAAACAAGATTTCTGGCTCTCACAGACCTGTAACTTCTTCTTTAAGAGCCTCCTCTGTCCTCCACTCGTTAACTGTATTAATGGCACCTCTTTGAACTCGTTATCAGTATAAAAGACACCTGTCCACAACCTCAAACAGTCACACTCCAAACTCCACTATGGCCAAGACCAAAGAGCTGTCAAAGGACACCAGAAACAAAATTGTAGACCTGCACCAGGCTGGGAAAACTGAATCTGCAATAGGTAAGCAGTTTGGTGTGAAGAAATCAACTGTGGGAGCAATTATTAGAAAATGGAAGACATACAAGACCACTGATAATCTCCCTCGATCTGGGGCTCCACGCAAGATCTCACCGCAAGAACACCATACCTACTGTGAAACATGGGGGTGGAAACATCATGCTTTGGGGCTGTTTTTCTGCAAAGGGACCAGGACGACTGATCCGTGTAAAGGAAAGAATGAATGGGGCCATGTATCGTGAGATTTTGAGTGACAACCTCCTTCCATCAGCAAGGGCATTGAAGATGAAACGTGGCTGGGTCTTTCAGCATGACAATGATCCCAAACACACCGCCCGGGCAACGAAGGAGTGGCTTCGTAAGAAGCATTTCAAGGTCCTGAAGTGGCCTAGCCAGTCTCCAGATCTCAACCCGATAGAAAATCTTTGGAGGGAGTTGAAAGTCCGTGTTGCCCAGCGACAGCCCCAAAACATCACTGCTCTAGAGGAGATCTGCATGGAGGAATGGGCCAAAATACCAGCAACAGTGTGTGAAAACCTTGTGAAGACTTACAGAAAACGTTTGACCTCTGTCATTGCCAACAAAGGGTATATAACAAAGTATTGAGATGAACTTTTGTTATTGACCAAATACTTATTTTCCACCATCATTTGCAAATAAATTCTTTAAAAATCAGACAGTGATTTTCTAACTCATTTTGTCTCTCATAGTTGAGGTATACCTAGGATGAAAATTACAGGCCTCATCTTTTTAAGTGGGATAACTTGCACAATTGGTGGCTGACTAAATACTTTTTTGCCCCACTGTATAAACAAACTATGTAATAACACTGCAACTTTCCACCGCAGCGGAGCCGGCTCTCAGTACCGAAAGCCGGTTCTTAGCTGGCCCCACTCGGCTGCCCGGCAAGTATCAATACTTCACGCTTACGTCGGAGGAGGGCGAGATTAACCTGAGCAATAACAGTTAATCGCGAGTACGGAAAATACAAGTTGTAACAAGCAGTAGCGCTGAGCAAAGTGACTACACACTTGTAAAAACAGAGAAGAACCAGTTAAGCACTAGAAAAGCACAAGAACGGATGTTGAACCCTTCGTGGAATATTTTATATACAATTGTGTTTTCTATTTAACTTATTGTACTATTATTTTTGTAATCATGCATGGTATTTTTTTAATTAACCTTTTTTTTTTATATCTCACGTACCCCCTGCAGTACCCCAACGTACCCCTAGGGGTCCACATGCCCCCATTTGAGAATCACTGATATAGAGAGTAGCACTTATGAACATTTAACATGCAAGTATCATAATCGTGTTTTTACCACAAATCTAGTTTTCTATAATATTGCAAAATCAGATGGAATAATCCCATTGCTTTTTGTCCAGTGAGCCGTTGTGATGCTTAGTTCAGGCTCGTCCTACAAAAATAAATCATCACTACACCACTAAATTGGATATGGGCAAACAGCATATAATGTGGAAAAAATCTGGCGCCGCCCCTATTTGTATATAGGGAAAACACTGGGGTTGGGTATCGTTTGGATTTGAACGATTCCTGTTCTGCTTTTCGATTCCGGTTATTTTCGGTTCTCGATTCCGGTTCTTTGAGAGGGTAAAAATAAGTCCCATGACAAACTGGGAGAAAAATATATTTATGAAAACATTAAGTCAAATCTGTATTCCTATTTACAAATCACTTCATACTAGGGGTGTAACGGTTCACAAACATTTCGGTTCGGTACGTACCTCGGTTTTTTGGTCACGGTTCGGTTCGGTACGTTTTCGGTACAGCAGAATTTTTTTTCACAAAACAAAACATATATATATATATTTTTATTATTATTATTAAACTGTGAATAATGTATTCACTCAAATAAATACAAAATATAATAAAATAAACATTAAGGTGCAGCATTTCGATGAACTGAAATAATCTGTATTTGAACTTTACTGTACTAGTACTCACAAAACAAACTATTAGTTTTGGGTTTTTAATTATTATTAAACTGTGAATATTCACTCAAATAAATACAAAATATAATAAAATGAACATTAAGGTGCAGCATGTCGATGAACTGAAATAATCTGTATTTGAACTGAACTGTACTAGCACCTAAGCAGCCAGTTTGACATTAGGACTTGCTTGTCATTGTATTTTCATGTTGTTTAAAGAAAGATGAACTTGTCCACATTGCTTGCCGAAAGGGCAGATCTGCTGGCACTAACAATGTCTCCTGCTGTGGAGAACACCCTCTCTAGGGACAGAGGTAGCAGATACAGCCAGGTAGCGCTTTGCTAACATGGCAACATAAGGATATTTGGCGTTTGTAATAGCTTTGGCTCGGTCTGAACTCTCTGCGAGTGGTGGAGGCTTACATGCTAGCGGGAGTTGGGTTTACACTTCAGTCTTTTTTCTTTTGGTACCGGTGATATTCACGTTCGGGTGATGCCTTTTCAAATGAGTGTGCAAGTTTGATGTATTGCCAGCCGCGTAACCAATTTTAGTTGAACAATGCTGACAAACAGCTTTGGTTCGGTCCACCTGTCTTTGTCCGTCATCCTTGTACGTAACTGCGAAACCAAAATGTTCCCAAACCGGAGAATTCAATGATGCTGGAGGATTTTCGAGCTCAACTTTATGTGCGTTCGCCATTTCGACAGTTCCTCAAATTACTGACTACATTTGAACGCATCCCTCTGACCAGCTCTCATAGTATGCCTCTCATCCAATGAAATGACTTGCTCGCTCTATGACGCGTTGAACCCAATGTGAGCAAATTACTCTGAATGCTGAGACGCAGCACCTGAGATTACTTCCAAAAAGTTGTTCACGTTCTCAATTTTTTACGTTTAACGTTATATTCGTTCGGTACACTTCGGTACACACCTGTACCGAACCGAAGGGCCCGTACCGAATAATTTCGGTACGGGTACGTGTACCGTTACACCCCTACTTCATACTGTTGAATTTCTTACGGTTATTGAATACAAATATAAAAATAATCTCTGCATTGTTTAGTTAGTTCTAAGTGGTGCAGTTTGAGAATGTACAATTGGCCCAGTCTCCTGATGTTACACTGCAACCTGCCTGTGAGACAGAGTCCAACCACACATGTCCAACACATAGGCCTAATAATAATAATACATTATATTTATAGCCTATAGGCCTAGCGCTTTTCTACAACTCAAAGATGCTTGCACGCTTACACATGTCCTGCAATACACATGCTGCAGCTGCCCAGCTGCTCACTGTTTGTAAAAGACAATAAATAATATTTTCATTTCAATAATGTACTTTCTATACCCTGCTTCATAAACAATACTGACATCCCTGTGCTCCTCCGAGTCTGGGGGTCCGGGGATGTGAGGACAGCGCGAGGACACAGACAGGGAGGCTGCTTCACTTCATAAAGGAAATGGCGGTCAACATAGGAGCTAAAACACTTAATAACCTTCATTATGTGTTAGAGAAAGAACATAAGAAAGTTTGACAAAGATGAGGCTGTTAAACGGGCAGCGGATCCGCAGTGTGTAGAAAGAGAGAGAGAGACGCTGAGCTGCACCGTGCAGCTGATACGGAGCATAGAGAGAGAGAGCTGCGGTCCGCGGGGCTCCGCCTCCTGTCCTCACAACTCTTATTAATCCCGGGACCGGACAATTGTTATTTGTTCCTACTCGGAAACGAGTTTTGCTTCCCAACCCTGCCACTGTGCTACACGTCCCGCCCCGCCCCCGTCTAACTGTACAGAAAGCAGCGAGATGCATTTCCTTAGGAATCGACAAGCAGAACCGAAACTAACATTTCTAAACTAACAATGGCGGACACGTACAATTTGCGAATGAGTTCTGCCTTTTGTAAACTGAATTTATCAATAATTTGTCAATAAATCGGGGCGAAAAACGTCACTTGTCCGCCGGACAAGTCAATTGAAAGATCTACTTGTCCGATATTGTAAATAACACGTCCTGGACGGTGGGACGTGTACTTTTTCGCACACTGCATTACATTCCTATTTAGAGCCAATACAAGCATGATTTTTGTTTAATACGTCTCACTACGTTTCCTTACATTGCTAACAAAATTAAATAAGAATCATGTTAAGAGATGAATATCCCTTACGTTTTTTTAAATATTATATAATATGGTCACATTACTAAAACAAAAATAACTTGATATTGTCATATTGCACATATTCGCCATGGTAACGGCATAGTGATACTGCTCTCAGTAGACCGCACAGATCTAGACTCACAATTAATCCAATATAAATGTTCTGTGCAATACTGTACGTGTAGTAATTTTATTTTAACTACTCAGTCTACTTTTCTTTAACAACAAAATAAATGTATATTTATAATATTCCTGTACTTTTTACTTATTTATTATATTTTGCTTTTCTGTACTTCTTATCATTGTTGTCCTTTTGCTGCTATGACACTGCACATTTGTATCATTGTGGGACTAATTCAAGATGCCCCTATTATAGTAGGATTATTGGAATTAGAGTAAAAACGTTCTGCCTTTACTGTTACCAGTTACTGTACCTTTAGCTGACTATCATAAAGGCAAAAGTAAACCTACTGTGAGCAGAGGGGTACCTGGGAGATGTAGTCAAACACGGAGCTGGGCTCGTAGTGGGACTTGTAGTCCAGCTCCGTGGCATCGCTGTGGGTGAAGTGGCCCAGGTGCTGGTCCACGTGATGGCCGTGGTGCTCCGACTTGATGTAGTCGAGGCCGCTGATCTCCATCTTGATCTGCTCGTGGCCCAGCTCGGCGGTGGACAGCGGCTGGATCTCTGACAGGTCCACGGTGCAGATGGGCTCCAGGTCTCCGTCCTCCGGCTCACTCTTCACGCACGGTAGCATCACCAGAGGCTCGGCCACCTCCGAGACGTCTAGGGAAGGGGGAGGGGAGCTGCACTCAGGGGGCAGGCCGAGGCTCAAACAATCGGCCTCCAAGTCAGTCATGGTGAGGGGCGGGGCTGATCCTCCTCACCTATCTGTGGTACAACACCTCGGGTAGCGCTTGGGACCAAAACCTTCTCCGCCCTGGTCCTTCCTCCCTCCCCTGTAGAAATGTACCCGTCCTGAGTGGCGGTGGGGGGCGTGTTCCTCAGAGTGTGTCCTCACTGCTGTGGTCACCACCCACACCGGACTGGCACCAGCCTGCAACAACGTGAAAGACACCGTTTAAAGACACTTGTAGATCAATTAAGCAGCCGTAAAGATAGTGCGTTCTATGCACGGTTGTTTTCCTTTTTGGTTTGTTTTGATGCGCGGAAAGTGTGCTCAAATGAGAGTGATGCTGTCGTGTATTTTTCAGGGAGCCCATAGTTTAAAGTATATTAACTTGGAATGCAGCAGTGCGCATTACTTATCATTAGACGAGGATAAACCAATCACAGCCGACAGATATCTTTACTTTCCCTAAGTCTACAGTTTGTACCGACCCCTAAAGACAAATAACTTAATGTAAAACATAATTTAGGCATTTTTTCATACTTATTTAATTGCTTTAGAAGCATGAAGTTATTTTCTATTATACATATATTTTCCACAATTAATTGTATTGTCACTCCTATGTCTCCATAGACTTTGTGGATCAGATTGCAGGTCTTTGTCTTGAGGATGGGAAGGTTATATAGATACAGATAAATCCTAGTTATACTACAGAAAAGTAAAACCAGCAGTTCAAGCTAAAACAAAAGAGCCATGAGAGAGATTTACATATCTTTAGTAATGTTATGCTTGCACTGGATGAGTGTGCTGGAATTTATGTATGTATAACTTGTACTTTCCACACGTTTCCAATGTTCTGACACTGTGTTAAAAACACAGTGTCAGAACATTGCACTACATAGTTTTATATAAAACACTGACAATAAATATTTGTAATGCAAACATATTTGTAACTCTACATACAGTTTACTGAAAAAAATGACTTCACTTTAGGTAGTTCAACTACATTTAACTGTACATAAAAACATTTATGAATTAACTACCTGCACAATCATTTCTTTAACCGTCAGTACTTAATTTACATTTTACTGGTAACTCAATACTTTTACTTACATTTTAAACGCAGGACATGTAGTGCAGTTCTTTTCACAATGCAGTGATAATGCTTTTGCTGAAGAAGAGTTTCAGAACAGTTCTTACTCTTGGTGGCTGCAGAGGCCACCCCGCACACACACACGGTAAAGTTTGCAGGCTGGCATCAGCCGTTAACGTTAAACTCCGACAAGTCTTCACTTTTCTCTAAAAACAGACCGTTACATTCCTGCCGAGCCCCGGCTGCAGCCCCCGGTGTGCCCGCTCAGTCCTCTCTCTTCGGGCTGAATGTGAAGGGGTTACCTGTCTCTGCAAACACTCAGGTAGCCTTTCAACCCGCCACGCAGCCTCTCGCAACAAACACAATCTGGCGGTGATTTACCCCTCAGAGGATGCCTTCACAATAACACCGCTTCCCCTGGTTCATCCGCGGGGAGGTTTAGTTTCGGTGGTTGTTCCAATCGGGGGAGAAAACTCCACATGACAGAGGAGGAACATGTATTTAAACGCGCATTTCTGGCATACAAAGACAGGGCAAGATGCCATGTCTAACAAGCTAGCAGAGCTAACCAGTGGCCATCTTGTTTATCACACAAGCAGTCTGCTAAGCTAACTAGCTGATGTTAGCACGGGGGTGATAAAGTGAGAGTGGAGCGGAGAGGCAGGCGGACGGAGAGGAGTAGCTAGCCTCCGCCGCTGTCCTGGGCACTATCTCTGTTTAGCATGTGGGGTGGGCTCCGCTGGATGCTGCTGACAGCTCAGAAACAAAAGGGTCAATTTATGAAATCTGTGCTGCGACCCGCGAGGATCTGTCAGAGAGCGGTGCAGGCTGTGAGGAGAAGCCGGAAACTGAGCAGAGCGGCGAGGAGAGAAGCAACACACCGGGGCAGAGCTGGAAAGATCGGAGGGGCTTGTGGTACGTTACCTGCGGGTGGTCCGGTGCATTGCTGTCCGCCTCAGTCACTTGTAGCTAACTCCGCCGGACCCGCCACGTCCACCTCGGCATAACAACCCGCCGCCTCGCCTCCTCTCCTCCCCTCTATCGCTGACTAATTCCGCTCCCTCCTTCCTTTCCTCCCTTCCTTGCCTCTCTCCCCCTTCGATCCTTCTTCCTTCCTGCCCAATGGTCGCTCGTGCGCATACCCGTTCTGGCGGGTACACAGGTAACTACGGCAACGGTAGTGGTGAAAGGTGGGCTATTCTCGCGCGCAGTTGCCCGAGCGGGTGCGCGCACGGTAAACATTTGTATTGGTACAGCATCATCTGTGCTCGTGTATTTATGGTATTTATGTTAGCTCCACGCGCCCTGTGTATAATCACAAAGGAATGAATGAGCGTGTAGCACGCGCCCCCGCTGATCCGGGTCAACGCGGACAAGTGGCGGGTGGAGACGTCACTCCGCGGCAATTAACAAGCTCATTAAATAAATGATGTCATATTTAAGAGAGACACGACAGGTGAATAAATATCACATCCGCAGTTGAGTATTTACATTATGTTGTGTATTACAAGTTTTCTGAAATGTTACATTTAATATGCAAAGGACGGAGGCATTCTCTTATTATTTTTAGTAACGACGTGTTCTATTAATTAGGCTCTAAATGATATTTGTAAAACGCTTCAGAATATAGTGAAGAATGAAACTAGAAAGTGTGTATGTAAGTAAAATCAGGTATTGTTAAACTCATACATTTTGTACACACTATAGGTGGAAAAGAGTATACAAATCATATTTTACCATTAGTGTCTCACATAATTGCATGAAATTAACCGGCCCAGGCAATATGATTGGCAGAAAACATTTAGACTAACTTTAGTTTGTTTATTAATACATATATTATCAACTATTTTGTTTATGTTCAATTTAGACTTCAGCTGCAACAACTTTTTTAATTAGCTTTGTCTTTAGTTGTGTTTTGGTATTTTGTTTTTTTCTTGCATTAAAGGTGGTGTAGGTAATTTTGGAGAAACCAGCTCGAGTGCGCTAGAATTTGAAAATACACAACCGGAAAAAATCTGCCACTACCTCACAGAGCCCCTCCTCCAACACACACGAACGCGCACATGACCAATGAGGGCACGAGATATATTTGTGCACAGATGGAAGGCTGACAGGCAGGTAGGCCATCCAGTTATTTTAGCCGGGCCGGCTCAGATGATTGGTCGTGCTTTTTACAGAACTACGGCTTCCACAGATGATATTTTTTTATGGATTTTTTGTCAAAGCACTTAAGATATTCATTGCTATCGGGATGTTAAGAGCATTCCATGGAATATAACAACAAGTGTATCTCGAGCCGGTTTCTCAAACTTACCTACCCCACCTTTAAAATAATCCTTTACCCATAAAATGATCATTTATACAGTTGCTCAACCATGTAACTTTAAATTCGTAGAGATGACATCTTTAAGAGTGTGAAAAAATGAAAGAGAAAAATCCATTTATTAACCATGTGCAGTGGCGACTGGTCATTAGGGGCAGGTGGGGCACAGCCCCACCTAGTGTCAGCAGAAAGTATTAAAAGTAATGATTACAACAAAATGCAAAAAATAAATTAAAAAATATATAAAATATATTTTAAGATCATGTTTAATCATCTGATTCGTCTGTACATTGCTGTTTTAGTCTGTGTTCTTCTAATTAGTGTCTACAGTGTGTGCCTATTGAGCTGTTTTGAGCCATGTGGGACAAAACCCGATCCTGCCCCTCCCTCTCCCTGTTTAAGTCAATGGTGACTGTAAAAACTACACTGCGCATGCTCAGAGTATTGTCCTATTTAATGTGTGTGGCAAAAAAATAATGACCATAGGGGCATAGTGCTGCCATCCCCACCATACGTCATCTCACATAATTCAGAGCTGATTGGCTGTAAGTACGTGTGCCGCGAAAAGTGTGGTGTGTGAAGAGGAGACGAGAGAGTTGCAGTGACGCGTCCTAAAACCCGGAAATAAACTGCGCATGGCTTCCCTCCACAAAAAAGCAATGATATTTCTCCATAGGATTTTAGAAAATAGCTCCAAATAAGATCTGTGGGAAACAAACGTGTTAGATAAATGCACGTTTTGTTCAGCCGGATAATATCCACATGTCCACCCTACTTTTATAATTTTCGAATCATAAATCTATTGATTAGATCAGATTTATTTAGACTTTTGAAACTACAAGAACATAAGGAGGACTTTTACAAAAAAGTAATAGAGATTTTTGTCCAGAAGGATAGGCAAATGGACTTCATCTTCATGTCAAGGTAAGACTGCAATTTTATTGAAAATGGGATCTTACTAAGAGAGAACAATTCAATATTTAAATGATACAATTACATTTTTTGGGTAACCTTTTGTTGAACTGTCTGTTTAAAATTAATTGAAGCATCAGACAAAAAAAGCTTTTGAAAATAATATTATATTTTGATTTAGGTCAAAATATAATATTTGTAAACCTGAAGAGTCAGAGCCTCACCAGCCATGAACCTCACTGCAGAAGCTTATATATAGACATCTAAGTTTTGTGTGCCCCACCACTTTTGTACATATAAAAACGCCACTGACCATGTGACAAATCCCAAATGTTATTTAGTCATGTTGTTTTATACCTCAGTAGCTGTTAAGCAGCGTTGATTCTCTCACAAGAATACAAATGTTTAATAGGAGTCGGATGTGGTTTTCAAAGGAGTTTCTATGGATCTTCTTATCCTCTTAGGAAAAATTCAGCTCATTTTCAGGTTCATAATTGTATTTTACTCTCAATGAATATAAGAAAGCACTGCGTAAAGCGAGAGCAGCCTACTACTCTTCATTAATAGATGAGAATAAGAATAATTCAAGATTTATTTTCAGCACTGTAGCCAGGCTGACAGAGAGCCACAGCTCGATTGAGCCTTCTATTCCCATAGCACTCAGTAGTAATGATTGTATGTGCTTTTTTAACGATAAAATTGTTACTCTTAGAAACAAAATTAATGACCTCTTGCCTTTGACCAGTATAGTGTTATCAACAGCTCCCGGAAACGTAAGTTCTAATATTACACTAGATAGTAAACTAGAATGCTTTTCAGCCATTAACCTTGAACAATTAAATTCAATGATTATCTCTTCTAAACCATCAACGTGCATGTTAGACCCAATTCCAACTAAGCTGTTGAAGGAAGTTTTTCCATTAATTAGCACTTATTTATTAAATATTATGAATATGTCTTTATTATCAGGCTATGTTCCACAATCATTCAAAGTAGCAGTGATAAAACCACTTCTTAAAAAGCACAGACCTATTTCTAATTCTAAAATTCTTGAGAAAGCAGTCGCAAAACAGCTGTGTGATTACTTAAAAAACAATGATTTATTTGAAGATTTTCAGTCTGGCTTTAGAACACATCATAGCACAGAGACAGCTCTGGTTAAAGTCACAAATGATATTCTAATAGCCTCAGACAAGGAACATGTCTCTATTCTTGTTTTGCTCGATCTCAGTGCTGCATTTGATACTATCGACCATAGGCGCATTCACACTGCAGTACTTTTCCCACAAAGGTTCATGAGAACTTAGTTCATGAGAACTCTTTTGTCGCGTTCACACCAAAAAGAGCCGGTACTAAAATTTGTTCATGAGAACCTTTTTACCCCCACGAAAGTCCCTGCTAGAGAGCAGAGAGCTGCTAGAGAGCAGGGACTTTCGAGCGGCTCTCTTGTGAGAAAAGAGCTATATTTCTGATTGGCTGGGCGGATTGCAAACCACGCCCCGTAAAACTCCCAACAAGTTTTGTGAAGCCGCCATTTTATTATCCTCGCATTAGCATTATTGGCATTAGCCCAGCGCAGAAATGCAGAGAGACTAACTTATGGCAACACAAAATAAAACATGGGAGTGGTGGAGATGAGGAGGTGTCGGCGTTCTGGCGATTTACTCGGAAGGCTTCAGTAGAAGCTGCTGGGAGTCCCAGCAGCTTCTACTGAAGCCAGTCCCCAACTCCGGGGACTTCCGGCCGGGGACTTCGGGTGGCAGTATACGCCGTGAAATGGTTTGCGGCCTGCCAGTAAACCCAAAGCAGAAGAAGAAGAAGAAGTGACGCCAGCGGCTTCATTAGCCTAATCCACCCCCAGGGACTTATTCCGGTGTGAACGCGATCTGTACTTAGTTCATGAGAACTAAAGAGTTCTCATGAACTAAGTTCTCATTAACCTTTGTGGGAAAAGTACTGCGGTGTGAATGCGCCTATTGATATCATATTGCAAAGATTAGAGCACTTAGTTGGCATACAGGGAACTGCTTTAGGCTGTTTTAGGTCCTATCTATCTGAACGCTCTCAGTTTGTACGTGTCAACGATGAATCTTCCACGCAAACCAAAGTTAGCCATGGAGTGCCACAGGGCTCAGTGCTCGGACCTATTTTGTTCACATTATATATGCTTCCGTTAGGCAATATTATAAGGAATCATTCTGTACATTTTCATTGTTATGCGGATGATACTCCTACACTATATTTATCAATCAAGCCGGATGAAATTAATCATCTAAATAAAATTCAAGACTGCCTCAAGGACTTAAAAACGTGGATGACCTTAAACTTTTTGATGTTAAACACGACCAAAACTGAAGTTATTGTACTTGGCCCGAAGAATCTACGAAACAAATTATCTAAAGATATACTAACTATGGATGGCATTAATTTGGCCTCCAGTGAGACTGTAAGGAATCTTGGTGTTATATTTGATCAGGATTTATCCTTTAACGCCCACATAAAATCAATTTCAAGGACCGCCTACTTCCATCTACGTAACATTGCAAAAATCAGGCATATCTTGCCTCAAAACGATGCAGAGAAACTAGTCCATGCATTTGTTACTTCAAGGCTGGATTATTGTAACTCCTTATTATCAGGGTGTACCAAGAAGTCAGTCAAGTCGCTTCAGCTGATTCAAAATGCTGCAGCTCGTGTACTAACCAGAGTTAGGAAAAGGGACCACATTACTCTTGTTCTGGCTGCCTTACACTGGCTCCCTATAGAACACAGGATAGAATTTAAAATTCTTCTTCTCGCCTACAAAGCCCTTAATGGGCAGGCGCCATCTTACCTTAAATAACTCATTATACCCTACTGTCCTACGAGGGCATTGCGTTCCAAGAATGCAGGGTTGTTGGTTGTTCCTAGAGTCTCTAAAAGTACAATGGGAGCCAGAGCCTTTTCTTATCAAGCTCCACATTTGTGGAATCAGCTTCCAGTTTGTGTTCGGGCGGCAGACACCCTATCCGTTTTTAAGAGTGCGCTTAAGACCTTCCTTTTTGATAAAGCTTATAGTTAGGGCTGATTAGATTCAGCCCCTAGTTTTGCTGATATAAGCTTAGTTTGTCGGGGGACATCTTACTTCTTCCTTCTCTCTGTCTATACCTGTGTACTCTCATGTTCCGATTAACCCAGCTTCCCCAAAAAAAAATCTTTTTGGTGTCTATATACGCCGGGATCCGGAGTCATGGATGATCCTGCGGTCCTGTGTTCTGGATCGCGAGCCCTGGATCGCGAGTCGTGGCTGTGGTCCTGGATAGATATCCTCGTGGATTCATCTTCCTATTATACACACATGCATTTCCAAACATTTGGACTACCTATGTTGCAAATGTATTATCTTTTCAATTTACACACGGCATCTATTGCACGTCTGTCCGTCCTGGGAGAGGGATCCCTCCTCTGTTGCTCTCCCTGAGATTTCTCAAATGTAACATTTGTGATATTGGGCTATATAAATAAACATTGATTGATTGATATTTTGCACTAGCCAATTGAAGCCCGAGTGTAATGATGTCACTATGTTACAGAAGTAAACAAAGGGTTGCGTTCAAATTGTCAGTTACGCTTAGGAAGGTTCCTAACGGAGTCTATTCCTTGACCTCTGAGTGAAACGTCACAGGGTTAAGGGATAGTGGATAGGAGAATTCAAAGGAGAAGAGACTGCGGTACTTTAGAGAATCCGACTGCACTTTCACTATCCGACGTGTTTATGATGCGCCAGCGAACGTCATGAATGTGCGTCTGCTGCTGTGGGGAAACTATGGAAACTACAGTTTTCTATAGCGGACTACAACATGGATGTATAATAAGAAGGAGGGACCACTGTAAACTCATCTGTAGTCTCTGCATCGTGCTCTGATGCTGTTGCTTTATGAACGTGGACAACAGAGAAACATATTCTTCATGACCAAAGTTGGAATTTAAAGGTCCCATGTCATGGCCATTTCCACTGATCATAATTCCATTGTTGACGTCTACTAGAATAGATTTATACTGTGCAATTTTCCAAACTCACATTGGTTTCGCATACAGCATCTCTGTAAAGTATGTGTATTCAGCAGTATTCACTCTCTCCACTAAAAGGCTCGTTGCAGCTCTTGCCCCCACCCTCCCTGTGAGCCCAGTGTGCTCCGATTGGTCGGGACCAGTTGGGACGTTGTGAATCGCGCTGAGCTCCGTGGAGGTGTGATTTCCTTGTTTAGCGATACACAGCGAAACACAGCCAAACTCATCCTGAGCACACACAAAATCACAGCCGAAGTAAAAACAATAAGTGTGGCTTGATATTGAGTAAGAAAAAGGTTGATAAACGCTGTGAGAATGGGTCTGCAGAGAGAATGGGTCTGCAGAGAGAATGGGTCTGCAGAGAGAATTTCGCCACGATCCCAACTGTCTGTTATCAGCCTGCAGCCAGGGAGGAGAGATCAGCAGAGCTGCCTGCACTGAGTGTGTGAGGAAGTCCGTGGATTGGTCAATTTGGACCAATCAGCGGGGGCTTAACGTAACGGCTCCGCGGACGTAACGTAACGGCTCCACGGATTGGTCCATTTCGTTCCGGGGACGACATGACATCATGATGTACCCGGAAGAATCAAATGGACAGTGACGTATCTCCAACGAGGCGTTTTGGGGAGGTGTTAGAGTTTACTCGCTACATGGTGTACTTTGAGGGTTTTGACTCTGCACACCGTTTACATGCATAAAAACCTTCATAACACACAAGGGGACGGGTAATAACCGGACAAACATGACATGTCACCTTTAAATAAAAAAGGAAGGTGAAACTTATGTTCGTCGTCACCCTCTCCCTCCGGTCCACGTTAATACAAATGATCCCAATACGCATGATTGTATGAACTATGAAAATATCTTAAAATCAATACAAATGTATTTATTATAAACGTAAGTTCTTAACATCTATCACTGTGTAAATCACCATTCACACAGCTCAGTAAACACTGAAATGTTGACTTTATTTGATCATTTCAGTAAAAACTAACGTTCATATTTCTCTTTTTGATTATAATACTGATGAACGTTCAGAACAAAGCACTTTGGCAACTTACCACATACGTTTTAAAATGCTTAATAAGCACCGTAACTTTCATGATATCATTTCTCGGTCATAATCGGTTGTTTCCGTGAACGGCCGACTGTTGTGTGACGGCAAATGCTGCGGCCGCAAGGCATTGTGGGGCAGCATTGTCTCCTCTCCTTTCGGTTAGGGAGGTCCAGTGGTTCCTAAGCTATAGAGGAAGTTTGAAACCTCCTTTCCTATCATCTAGAGAATTCGAACGGCACTTATCATGGCTGCCACTGAGGGACTTCCGGGTCATTTCACTCTGTTAGGAAGGTTCCTTAGCTAAATGGACTATTCGACTTCAGCCTGGACCTTCCTTTACGAAAGGAAAGGAGAAATTGCTGTCCCACAATACCTTGCGGCCGCAACATTTACCGTGACACAACATTCACGGAAACAACCGATCATGACCGAGAAATTACATCATGCAAGTTACTGTGCTTATAGTCCCTGTGCTGTAACCTGCCAAAGTGCTTTGTTTTGACCGTTCAACACCAAAAGGCAAAACATAAACGTTACTTTTTTACTGACATTATCAAATAAAGTCAACATTTCACAGTATTACTGAGCAGTATGGGGTTTCTTAAGGTGTGTGTTGGAGAAAAACTCCCTCTCGAGGGAATTTGGGATTTTAGCCTTTGCAGACCATTTACATGCACAGAAACATAGTACAGAAAACCCCCAAAAAGCATAATTAAAAAGAAAAAGGTTTTTGTTCCCCCATCAGCAGAGAGTAAATCAGACACTTCAGGCCAAGCTGGTCGTTGTGAACATTTATTGGTTTTCCTTGAATTGTAACACTAAAAAGTACCCGGTCTCATCGACTAAAACAGGTAATAGAAATTAAAAAACGCACCATCACCATAGCCTTCATCATAACATTATCATGGCAGACAGTTTGTAATGTGGCGTATTTGACATTCAGACGGTGCTGCTGTGATCAACACGGGCACAAAAACAGCCAAACATACAGAGAATGTACTATAGTCCACTGGTTAATGATGGAGAAAGTTGGCAATAATTAACTCAAAACTGACATAGGTCACAAAAAAGTCAAAGGTCATATCAATTCTGAGTTGATTTTAACATTAAGTTTTCTTTTTCTGACCGAAGCTTCAACTGCCTGCCACTCAACTTCAGCACTTTTTAAATGTCATTTTTAAAATAGGAAACTATTGAAGATTTGGTTTTATTAGACTGGTAAATTACAAAAAAAGGGCACATTTTTTTATCAAAAGTATTGCATCAAATCCAAGAACAATATGAACTTTCTTCGACAGACAAGAGCAAGTCAGTTCATTGAGATTATACAGGGAGTAGAAATAGATATTTAAAAATAAAACTTAAACATTAGTCACATTTGCCTGTGCCAATACAAACACACAGTCTGCTTAAAGTCAAACATTTGAAATTAATAAAACAATCCCTTTCAACCCCTCATTCCCGCGTTGCATCAAATAAAAACAGGACCTTGAATCGTTCCCTGAGGAACCCCGGCATGAAGTTCCATTAACTCCAGCTTTACTTCTACAAACTAACCATGAAGGATATTAAGGAACCCTTTTTATTTACTTTTTTTTAAAGAGAGAGGTGCCCCTCTGCTGAAACGTAACGTTTTTATTCCCTTAGCCCATAGTTTTAACGGAGAGGCTGAAACATCATAATCGCTCCAAATGGAAACCACATAACCACTTTTCAGAAAACTGCCATATAAAATGAAAATCAAAGGAGCCGGGATCTGCTCTGTGATATGAACACATGAAATCCATCTGGTGGAATTTATTATAATCGCAACGACACCCTGAAGAGTTTTTATAAAAGTCTTGAGTATACAACATTAACATTTAATAGTATTCCCTTGTCAATGTTGATTCAGTAATTTACTAAAGGTCTTTGCTGTGACACTGTATGCTGTATAATTCTGGCTTAGTATTACTCATATTAGTATAAGATCCATTTTTAAATAAAATCCAACATACTCACTTTTACAATTTGTGAATGTCAGTTTGAAATACTATATCATTTCCTTTGCATTTGTTTGTAAGCAGGAACAACAGAAACATTAATAGCATGATGTTTTATGAAACGGGTTAGATGATTTAATTTTGCGCAGGTCTGCACTCTTTGAGGTTCCTTTCAGTTTGTTCACAATTTTCCCTTTTACGTATTTTCAACCACAAGCATTTCTCTCTTTTTCTATGGTGTTCTGTAAACAACAACAGGTGAAGCATTGATTGATTAAAAGGTCCCATTGTGTCGGAGAAAAACCTCATATCCTCTCTGCCATTTTCCATGTGTCCAATTTATGTATTATCTTTTCAATGTACACACGGCATCTATTGCACGTCTGTCCGTCCTGGGAGAGGGATCCCTCCTCTGTTGCTCTCCCTGAGGTTTCTCCCATGTTCCCTTTAAACTGTGGGTTTTCTTCGGAAGTTTTTGATTTAAAAAAGAACATCTCAAATAATAGTCTTTTTTACAATATTTAGTTTGGTGCTTTTTCGCACATTTCATATTTGTCATTTGGTTACTTAACTTTATACCATTACAATTTGATGTTCTCATCTCATTGTATCCTACCGTTGTTATTAATTGAATGTTATCCGAAAGTAAATCATTTGTTGTTTTTCCTTTCCATTTTAAGTGCTTCTAAAGCGCTCAAACTTTAAGTGTAACAAATGGAAAGATTCAAAACATAAAAATAAAACTAAAGTCAGACTCCAAGTAAAAAACTATAAGCTATTATGAAATACACCTGATCGTTAAAATGATAGCACAGTAAGTAAACATTTTTATATTTCTAACCATTGTCAAATTGTCCCTGCATTCTTATCCAACATTAGTATTTTTGAAAAAGGCTCTTTAACCATTTATTATAATAAATGGGCTTCCATATTTTGGGGCAAACTCTTATAAACATGTCATAGTTTGTTATTTAAGGCCTTTAAATACGTTTTTTTTAATGATAAAAAACAATCCTTGAAGACTATCTCTTTGCAGTTTTGTGTTTTTCACCCGATTCGTTTTTGAGACAAATAAAAGAAATAATAAACAGAAAAAAAAAATACATATAATACACATAATCGTAGTCAAATGAGGTAATGAGGTCTGTGTGGTGAGGAACATTTAAAACACTTCAGATGTTTTACAAAATAAAATGAGGTATGTGCATAGCCACGGGAAGTCATTTTACTTAGGGGGTGCGGCCAAAAGTGGGGAGAGATTTCAACAGTAACATGAACATAATAGTAACCGGCAAAAAAGCCCTACAATATATACAATGACTATTATATTCTACTGTATACAGTACGGCAAATTTTAGTACTATTTTATGTAGTTTAATCGTTTTTATTTAGGTGGTCGCTCAGCTTTTCAAATGTACACCATTGGCCAACAGGGGGTGCTGCAGCACCTCCAGCACCCCTACTTCCCTCGGCTATGAATATGTGTGAACATGTGGAGGCTGAAAGTACAACAAATTAAAAAAGATAGACGCTTGGCGTTTGGAGAAATGCGGTGCGGTCATTCAGATGTTAGCAGAGCAGATAATTAGCTTTTGTTATTAAAGTAGAGGCAGTTCAATTAATCAGTTATTATTAGGCATCATTAGCATATATCAAATTACAATTATTATATCGGAGAGCACCCGTGGTCATGTTGCAGCAAAATCAAATCACATGTTTTTCGAAAACAGTGATATATTTTTGCGCATCATGACCACTTTCAGCTCTCTCCGACAGTAAATCAAACTCCAGCCGCTCGGCAGAGTTTTGGCTTCATATTGCTTACATGTTTTTATTTTCAAGACAAGTAAAAACAGAATCACCTTGAGGCTAGAAAAACGTTCAGTTTGCACATTTACAAAGCTTAAAGATGATGGATACGTCTCGATTGTTCGTGCTGAAGCATCGCGGAGCAGAAACATGAAAATCATGAGATTTATCACTGATATTTGTTTTTATATCCGTCATCTAATCCTTCTAGTCACCAACATCCCTCCATCTCTTCCTGACGTATGCATGCTACAAGAGATAACGTCACAAACAGATGGAAAGGTAGGAATGATTAAAAAAACAACACAAGTTGTGGCATTTTAGATTAGTTGTTCAGTTTAATTGAGATCTTTTAGTGAAATTAAAGGAACAAATGATTTTATCCACTTAATCTGTTTATTTATTTTTGATAGATTTCACATAGTTGAAAACGTATTATTTCTGTATATGTTTTTCTTCCCCTGGCACCAATGGGCTACCACATTTTAAATGCCCATTAAGTGAAGGAAATAATACATATTTGAAGCCAGTTTGTAGAAAACAGCCATCAAAGAAAACATTTCTGGCAGAAAACATTTCTTTATTTTGTTTTTCTGAGATTTATATTTTATAAATTCAATTCATTTTAGTTTTCTTGGACAGCATTACTATACTAAATATAGATTTACATTTCTGACTCATAGTACATTTTTTTCAAATCCCTAGAAAACGCAAAAACTGATAAAAAGCTTAATAAAGTAAATTGTGGAATTGGCGTTTCATAAGCGTTTTTGAATTTACTTTTTTTTTTAAAATTGATCTGAAATGTCTCAATCTTTATAGGTTTGTATAGTATTGTTTTAATACAACTCAACATTTTGAGGCATCTTAAGTTATCGACTCCTATTTTTTTTTTCTATCATTTATTTTGTCAATTTCCTGGCAGTTAAGGGCTTCCATACAGATTTGATTAATATAAGTAAAGAAAATGTAATAATAATCAGATGACAATATTTGTAGAAGCAAAAAACATGTTCTGTAATAAACTATGTGTGGCCAAGTTGATTTTGTTTGTCATTTATATTGGAAGTTTCTTACTTGTTTTGCCAGGAAAAAAATTCAATGGGTTAGAAAAAAAACATACTGTTAATTAAAATGTAAATTATTTGCCTGGCACAAATGGGAATCAATGCAGATCAGATCCATTAAAGCACATGATTAATTAGTTGAAGCCAGAAAAAAAACAAATAACAACAAAGGTAAACGATCAGAAATCGTATATAAAAAAGATGGTTGTGTTTTTTTCAGGAGGTATCCGTGTGTTAACATGAGGTCGCTTAACTGAAGAATGAGGGATGAAGGAAGGAAGGATGTAAGCAAGGAGAGAAAGATGCAGAGGAGGAAACCGTTGCAGATTTTAAAAACCTTCCTCTATTCTCTTGTTTGACCTGTATGTAAAGTAAAAACTGTGCAACAAAAGATTCACATTCATTGAGTCCAAAACAATCGATGCCACTGACAAAGTTTCTCTTCCTTTTGCTCGCAAAAACTTGACAAAAATGCACCTGACGATAACCAAAAATAAGTCTGTTAAGAGAAACAATAAAAGGGCACTTTGAAACAAAAACGGATAGAAAAATCAATCTTCCTGCAAATTCACGTTTTACAGATCCAACACGAGAAGGAGAAAAACAACGATCATCAACAGGAAGCTCCGACCGTCCGACTGCTGAGGCCACGAGTTTATTGCAACAACAAAAATAAAAAATAAAAAGTCCTGCTGGGACTCAAACTCACCTCATGAGGTGGGGCCCCGTATCGTGTCCAAGAGGGTATTTTACAGGATTTAAAAAGAAGAGGAGTTTGAAACATTACGTTTTTCATCTCCGCTTACTCAGCAATTATTCCCCGTTCAGGTTCTTTATTTCCCGTTTGAAATCCAGAGTTGGGATTAATAAGTGTTTTGTGGAGTTCAGATGTCTACAAATCTTTTTTTATCAAATCTATTCAGCTTTCAACATTTGTTAAGAGTTAAAATAATTTTTAAAAAGCCACTTACATTTGTTTTCTACCTAACATACTTTTCAAATGATTAAATGAAAGTTAAATGAGGGGAAAAACCTTTTTAAAACTATTATTTTCAAATAGTTTAATCTAAAACACTCTTTAATTGCAGCCTGGAGGAAATAAGCAAACTATTTTCCAAATAAAAGCCCCCGTATAACATTAGTTCAACGGGGGAATTAGAAATAGGAACATTTCCCTGTAGTTGCAGAGAATGGGAACAATCTCTACATGTTCTATCTTTTTAAAATAAGAAAGCATGTTTTCTTTAAACCTATTCACTTCAATTTTAACTTCCCCTTTTTTGATAGTAGTACAGTTTTTATCTTTTATAGCAATGCATTTCAATGGTGAAATAAAATAAATATTTTCCCTCTTTGGCAGAGTTGTTTGTTTACTTGTCGGACCCCATCGCTAAAAAACTGAATCCGATGGGGGAGTCGAGTCTATGGGCTTTTTTAGTGTTTTGTCGGCTTGAAAATGTACATTCAAAATGATCAACGTGGAAAGAAGCTGAATATTTTGATACTCAAAAAAAGAAATGGAGCTTGAGTAAGCGATTTGTCAGCACCTGAACTTGATAAATCTGTGTTTGTAATGTCTACCTGGAGCCGGATCCAAGGCAGAACCGAGATTGGACCTGGATTCCTTCTGGTCCTGGGTGATCATCGATCATGTGACTTTCTTCCATACGCTCTAAAATGGTTGTCGGGTACCAAGGACAAGGGATAGACAGATTTTAGACTAGAGTTCTTTTCAATCTTTATCTGTGGTGATTTTTAATCTTTTTAAAAGAATCATTTACGTTTTGAGGGTCTTAATATTAAATATTATTGCGCAACTTTGTTTTAAACCCTCTTTTAGGAAAAAAATCAAAAGAAAGTTTATGTTTTCTCATTATGTTAGTACTGCTACTTGAACAATTTGTAAAATAGTAATACAAAAATAACTTTTGTTTCAGTTGATAGCATCTTCACTTTAGCTTTTTGTAATTTCATACAGTAACTATAACTATACAGGAAATATAAATAAATAGTGGAATAAATAATTTAGTTGCAGCTCTAATAATAAAGTGCTCTACAGAAGGCCTGGAGTTGGCTTCCATATTTCAGAATAGAAGTACTTTAGAGTGTAAAACCGGTCTATCCCTTTGGTCATGTTTGTTTTATTCAAAGCGTTCTGGAGTGGGATCCTGATGAGTTTCCCTTCATGGTTCTGGTTCTGCTCTGTGGATACTGCTGTGGTGTTTGTTTAGCTTCTTGTTGGACTCTGTTGGAGGTCAGGTCCGGGTCCCGGGGTGCTGGGCCCGGATGTGGCTGTGGAGGCGGGTGGCGGAGGAAAACCTCTTACCGCAGGTGGAGCAGTGGAGCGCTGATGCGTTGCTTGTGGGCACGGGGGACACCGTGTCGACAGCGGCCGTGTTTTCCGCTGCGTGCGTCTGCCGGTGAGCCTTGAGGAGAGACATCCGGCTGAACCTCCGGCCGCACTCCTCACACTCCGACCAAACCCGCCGCCGCTTCTTCTGCTCACACAGGACACAGCAACAAATATTATATTATAGATACATGAAAAAGTCAGCTGTTATATTGATCCTTTCTCCAATAACAACTTATAATAACAACTTAAAATTAATAATGACAGAGATAACAAATTGATTAAGACACCAAACATAAAATCCAGTATAGGAGGACATTTTGTTATAATGAACCTACAATAAGCGTATCTTTTATTTGAAAACTAAAAACAAACCTCTTTCCTGGCACACATATCAGTAAGAAAGGGGACGTTTTATCTGTTTTTAGGAGGTTCCTCCTTCCTGCGTCCATGCTTAGTGCATTCATTAATAAAAACACATTTTTAAAACAATATCTGCAGTTGAAAAAAATAAAACTAGTTTAAAACTGCAAGCTTTCATTTCAAAAAGGTGCCGGATTATTTACACAACACTATCATGATTTTATTTTTAATATTAAAAGTTTGTATACTCAAAAACATAACTTACAAAACATATAATCATTATTTCACTTACAATTGATAAAACAAGCAACATTTGATATATTTGAAATACTGAAAGATGCTTGTTTCCTCACTCACCTTCCTCCCTTTGTCCTCCTCCTCCTCCTCCTCCTCTTCTTCCTCCTCCTCCTCCTCTTCGTCCTCCTCTCTGTTGGGTGGGGGCAACAGGCGGTGCTGTTCGATGGCTTCTCGGAGGTCGTGGACTCCCTCGATGGTGAGAGCGACCAGCGTGTCGTTGGCGGCGTCCTCCTCCTCGTCCAGCAGCTGAGACGGCAGCGTGAGGAGGCGATGAAGCATCGAGGCTGAGGAGCGCCGGCCGGAAGAGCCTGCAGAGAAACATTAAGAAGGGAGGAAGGTCATCAGCAGAGGTGGAAGAAGTACTCAGATATTGTACTTGAGTCAAAGTAGAAGACTTTAGTCAAAAGTAAAAGTACTCATGATCATAAGTCTGATTTAAGTGTTGTTTATATTTCACATTAATCAAAATCTGTAAAGTAACTAAATGTATAAATAAATGCAGTGGAGTAAAAGCATACAATGTACCTCTGAATTGTATTGGGGTAGAAGTAGCATAACATTAAAATACTCAAGTAAAGTACAAGTATCTCAAAGTTGTACTTAAGATAAGATGGACCTTTATTAATCCCCGTGGGGGAATTCAGGGCTTTAAAGCGGCAACAGAGTGAGAGTGAAAAACAGGACAGTACAGACGAGGTAAAAAAATATATAATACTAAAATTAAAAAGGCACATTAAGTACAGTACTTAAATGTACTTAGTTACTTCCCACCTTTGGTAATCAGATTACTGCTGAGAGAGTACTATATGCACACTGGGAAAATACTCCAGTACTGGTTAAAATCCTGCTTGTATTGTAGTACAAACTGTGCAGTAAGATTTCCCCGTCAGTGTTTTAATGTTATAAATCATTGTAATATAACTGTCCAGTGGAGGGCAGTACTGAGAGACACCCACACGCGTCAGTAATAGATTTTAGATTTAAAATATACTTAAAGTACCAAAAGTAAAAGTACTTATTTTGCAGTATTATAAATATATTATTTAATTTTGTTATAATGTTGGATCCATTAATGTGTTCATCACTTTCATTTTGCAGTTGGTAATAAAGGAGCTCATGTTAAATACTTTATATAAAGATAAGGTAGTTTAGTCTGTAATATTCATTTATTATATTTCATATTAGTAATCTGAAACGGCAAAGTAACTTAGGTACTCAATAAAAAGTATAATATTTCCTTCTGAGATGGAGTGGAGTAGGAGTAGCAAAACAAAAACAAGAAAGTACTGTGGTTGATTAAATGAGAAAGATTAAATAAAACACCAAGTTTAACAAAGTGTGAGTATTTCTTTCTATCCTGTATTCACATTATTGCAGGAAAATATAAAACACTAATGATGTGCTTTTACCCCAATGAATATCACTGCCCATATTCAGAATGATCTGACTTTTAAAACAATTGCGGTAAGCAAGGTTACTTTAATTAATAACAATGCCCCACAACATAAGTACACGACGCTGACATGTCGCACTTATCATTCATTTCACATCATTTCACATCATAAATTCACTGTGTAGGGTTGGGTACCGAGAACCGGTTCCGGTTCGGAACCGGTTCCAACATTTGGATTCCAACGGCATCATTTAGAAATGTGAATTTCGGTTCCGCTTTTCGATTCCTGAGGAAATGTTTCTCGCCGCTCTCCGTAGCCGACTGTATGACTGCGGCGGGGCGGGAAATGTAGTTTTGTACCTACACTTCCTACAGCGTAACCTGAGACCAGGGTCGCCCCGTCGCACTGGCGTTATAGATGCGCTGACAGCTCTGGGAGAAAAAAACAATGTTTTGACCGTTGGCGCTCATCCTAATTTTCGGCCTTGATGCAACAACATTCATAATTAAGTAAATGTAACACCCTTTTCATCCCGGTTACACGTTTCATTTGCCCTGTACGATGGGCGCTGTAAGTGATGAAAGTGGGGGATGTTGGTTTATCTGGCGCCCGCAGCTCACTTTAGTCTAAGTTATCTCAGTGGGTCTCAAACGTTTTGATCACAATTTATGTAAAAACATATTTCCAAGGCACTCCTTTATAATGATTGGGATAAAACAGGTTTGAAATAATTCCAATGTATACTATAGGACAGTAAACCAGACATATCGTTTTAAACTGGAGAGATAAAAACATATGCATAAATAAAAAAGTAAAATAAGATATGAATGAACAACAAAAATAAAATACGTTACATGTATTTGTTATTGGCTATGGGTTACTGGTTATGTTCACATACTTATTTAATTATTCAAATGTAAACCGATCTTTTTCATATGGGTGTTTAGAGTTGTACCCCCTAGATCTAGTCTCTAGTAATTTTGCTTAAAGTGCATCAGATTGAAGCATTTTACTTCAAAATGTTCAAACATTTCTTCCCGGTATGCCTGAGAGGCAGATGCTTGTTTTTCTCAACAAGAACTGTTTTTAAATGGGGGGGGGGTTCCTTTAAAAGTTGGACTGTTGCACTGTTGTAGCTTCAGTGGTTCTCAGGTTACAGTTACATAGCAGTGAATATATATATTATGACTGATTAATGTGAATATTACTGTAAACTAACCTGTGTAAAAGTTTCTCGATTAAATGTAATTTTTTTGGTGGAAGAAGCATGTATCATTTTTTTACCTTGCCCCTCAAAGAATCGGAATTGAGAACCGTTAAGAACCGGAATCGAAAAGTAGAATCGGAATCAGAATCGTGGAAATTCAAACGATACCCAACCCTACTTATGTGTGTGTCAGCTCCTGAGCTGTATGTGGCTGTGTCTCACAGTGCTGCACACTGGATAATGCAAGTGTTATCTTGCTAAATTAAAATACTTCCATGTGTGATGGAGCAGTGATATTTGGCCAAAAAACAGTTAGTTTAGTCATTCACACAGTCAGAGTTTTTTCTTTTTGACTTTCTTCCTGAACTTTGCAGCTGAAACTATGTTGCTTTTCATCCTGGTTAAGTTTAACTTGTTCAAAATTGTTTAAGATTATAGTTTACTTTTCATTACGCAGCACCCTGGCCTCTGTTTTCTGCTCTCTCAGGTGTGTGATGTTTCCGTTTATGTGTTTGTGTGCAGAGGGTGGGTTTCCTGTCACACAGCCGAAGGAGTTCGGGCTCACCTGTGGGGCTGTGGGGGTGTCCATGTCGGGGGCCCGAGGTGTCCCTCTGACTGCCTGCAGCCTCCTCATCTGGAGAAAACACCTCCATGTCCTCCAGAGGGGTCCAACGGGGGTCCTGCTGGGGGGAGGAGGGGGAGGGCTCCAGGGTCACAGAGCGGTTGGAGAGGGGGGCCGCGTGCTCAACCCGGCCCTCACCCAGACCCCGTCCTGTACCGGCCCCCGCCTCTCCATCCATCTCCTTTATCTGCCACACGTCGCTGCACCACTTCTGACCAAAGACCTTGTCCAGGATGGGAACCCAGTCCTGAGCGACGGAGAGGACAGGGGGGCGCCCCAAGTCTGAGGGGGAAGATAAAAGAGGAAGGAGGAGGAAAAGAGGAGAGAAGGCGGGGAAGGATGAAACTCTGTACTCTCATCATGTAAAAAGAGAGGGCCCATTTGGCGCTTTCACACCAAGTAATTTTCCCAGGAATAGTTCCCGGAACTTTTATTTCCTGGCTGGAACTATCTAGTAAATCACGTTCACACCGGAATAAGTCCCTGAAGGAGCCGCTGACGTCACTTCTTCTTCTTCTTCTGCTTTGGGTTTACTGGCAGGCCGCAAACAACTTCACGGCGTATACGGCCACCCGAAGTCCCCGGAGTTGGGGACTAGATCAGTCAGGCCCTGGTAGTCTGTCTGTGTCAAGGCGCAGCAAACTTCTCAAGGTCTGCTTGGAAAGGCTCGGGTGAATGTGGCAAAGCTCTCCATAGGTCTAGCCCAGTGGTTCTCAAATGGGGGTACGCGGACCCCTAGGGGTACGTTGGAGTACTGCAGGGGGTACGTGAGATTTATTTTATGTTCATGAAAAAAACAACATAAGTAATGCATTTAAACAAACTGCTAATAGTAGATGAACTACTTTATTGAAAGGTTTACAGAAACTCTGGATAATAACATGGGAAAAATAAACGGGGTGCTCTCTTTTCCTCTCCCTCTCCTGACAGCCCATCAGTCTCGTGCAGCTCGCTGAACCTGTAATAAGTGACCCGACAGTAAAGAATAAATATATTTATAACTAGTTTAGCTAGTTCCAGAGTAGATAAACAAGCTAAGTGTGTTAGGTCTAACTCTTAGTGTATTTTGCTCCACTCAACGGTCCGTCACAGTGGCGGAGCTGTGATCATGCAGAGCTGCGTGTTCTCCGTCAGCAGCAGCTGATCTGATCTCTGATCTCTCTCTCGCGTCCGGTTAGACTTCACTCGCGTTTATGTCTAAATCTATCAGATCTAGCTAGTTCTAGCTAATGATATGACTGCCTGCTTATCAAAGGACCTAAACAATAGGCAACAGGGTGTGGCCGCAAAGTATAGCGCAGCATTATGCATATGTTTATATGAGGGGTCAAAATCCCGTCTGGCGGTTATAGGTATAAATGCTCATATTTTTTTTTCTCTACATTCCCCACGCCCCAAAATTAATAAATAAATATACCAATTTTAGGAAAAGTAACGAAGTTTGAGCAGTGTGGGTTTTATATGAACAGTTACACATATTTCAAAACACGAAAGTGTAATAACTGCAGTGGCCTCCCTGTCAGAATGACAAAGATCCTCAGTGAAGCACAAGCCCATGTTTCACTATACATTGTAAGGACAACTTATTAAAAAGATCAGTTCAATGCAACTAATGTCGTCCTATTGTTATTGCATGATGTTAAAATTGGTTTGCCATGAATTTAGTGATGGATTGTAAACATTTTAAATGTAGCATTTAAGTGTTTCTCAGTTACAAGGTTGTTGTTTTAATAAATCAGACACTGATGGTGCAGCGCTGTACTGTACCTCTTTATATAGGCGTTTCTTCCTTAACAAAATGTTTTTACGCTGATCAGGGGGTAATGGCTGAATCTTTTTTTCAAAGGGGGTACATTATTGAACAAAGTTTGAGAACCACTGGGCTAGCCTCCTCATTTTGCTCTTAATGTGAACGAGATTGATGCATTTCCTTCCACGGAACCTGCCTGGAGCACGCGTGTCAAACTAAAGTTCTGAGGCGTGCAATGGAGGTGGACAACAAACCTATATAACACACTATAGGAAAGGGAAAACCCCAAAAAGCATAATGGGGCCTCTTGTTTTTTTGTTTTTTTTACTTTTTATTATTGTTATTAAAGTCCCAAACAGAGTTTCCGTTAATTACCGGACTTTGACCGGTAAAATATGCTGAAGACCGGCAAATCCAAATCTCTCCGGTCAAAATAATTTCCCCTTGGCACAATACCGCATCAGTTGCAACAGACAAGAAGAGTATGTGACAGACAAGAATAGTCAATTCTAATGTCTAACACTTAATGTGGAGAAAGAGATGTCCTGTATGGGTTGATTGTGCGTTGATCTGTTGGTAATGCCTCGGGGTTCCGGTGGGCATGTAAACAAATGCATAATGCTGCGCTATACTTTGTGGCCTCACCCGGTTGCATAGCGACACTTATTGTTTAGGTGTCTTTTAATAAGCAGGTAGTCATATCATTAGCTAGAACTAGCTGGATCTGATCGATATGGACATAAACGCGAGTGAAGTCTAATCTGACGGGAGAGAGAGATCAGCTGCTGCTGACGAGTCGTTAGAATATATGTTTCCTATGTTTACATATCCAATTTCCATTTTCAAGTGTGGCCCTCAGTTAAATTGAATGGGGGGGCTCACCATCTGCCTGTGGCGTCTCCTTGGACACGGGGGCCTCGGCCAGCTCCTCCTGGGTGTCATCAGACCCACTGGGGGACACCGAGTCGTTCTCAGATCCCCTCCTCCGACCCCCAGCTCCTCCTCTCCCCTTGTCCATCCTCTCCTCCAGCAGCTGCTGCTCGCTCTCCATCTTGGTGATCTCCAGCAGCAGGTCGTCAAACGAAGCCTCCACGATCTTCGTCAGCTCGTGCAGCGCGAAGTCCAACACCTGTTCCATCACAGACTTCAGCTGATCTGCAGGGGGGGGGGGGCAAGGGACACCATCATCATCTATAATTTATCATATATTAGAACAGCCTTTATTCTACCAGACAATATTTGATTTTACATTCCGTTTTAAATATATTATTTCTTAATCCTGCATTCAAATTGAATGTATTTTGCCTTATTTTATGCTTTTGCCCTTTTTATTTTAAATGTATTGTATATTGAAGGATTAACGGTTTTATATGCAAACAAGCTGTAATTGTTTTGCATTTTACAAAATAGCCTTGAGTCATAATCAGTAGCCAGGTTTATTGTTCAACAATAAAACACAAAGGTTTACTGAGAAAGTCTTTGTTGAATAAAAAAAAAAATCTTTGCTGTCCTTAGGGGAAAAATGTCCACATAGTAAAACTGCTATGAAGATATTGCATATTAAAAAGACAAAACTTTAGTCCTGGTCATAACTGAAAAAACAACCAATTATCCAAATTATAACCATTTCAATTACATTTTCTCTATACTCAACGCTAGGGGCACTTATTTTACAAATCAGATTAAACATCTCGGAACACTTCTGTTTATTTTTCCTCACTTTCTTTAAAAACGTTTGTTTCATGCACATATTGAAATTATCTTGTAAATCTACTGTAATTTTGTCGATCTTTAAAAAGGAGTAAATCGGGTGTTATATCAGGAGTATGTTAAGTCACAATTAATAGTTGTATTAAATAAAACTATAGAAATCTGTTCATATGTGAAGCAGGGTTTCCGCTAGGATTTTTTCTTGCCGGTCAAATGTTCGGACAGAATTTATTTTACTGGACAAATTTGAAACGTATCGGTCCTGTTTCGAAGAAGAAGAAGAAGAAGAAGAAGAAGAAGAAGAAGAAGAAGAAGAAGAAGAAGAAGAAGAAGAAGAAGAAGAAGAAGAAGAAGAAGAAGAAGAAGAAGAAGAAGAAGAAGAAGAGAAGAAGAAGAAAGAAGAAGATAATAAGAAGAAGAAAGAGAATACAGAATAAGAAGACGATAAGACTAATCAATCCTCCTCCGCAGCCCTCCTCCTCAGCCTCCGACTCCCCTCCTCCTACTCATCCTCCTCTCCTCATCCTAATCCCTCCTCCCTCCTCCTCCTCCTCCTCATCCTCCTCTCCTCCTCCTCTCCGTCCTCCTCCTCCTCATCCTCCTCCTCCTCCTCCTCCTCCTCATCCCCTCCTCCTCCTCCTCCTCCTCCGCCTCATCAGCTGCAGCCGCATCCTCCGCCTCCTCCTCCTCTCCTCCTCCCTCCTCCTCCTCCTCCTCCTACGCATCCTCCTCCTCCTCATCCTCCTCCTCCTCCTCCTCCTCCTCCTTCCTCCTCCTCCTCCTCCTCCTCCTCCTCTCTCCCCTCCTCCTCCTCCTCCTCCTCCTCCTCCTCTCACTCCTCATCCTCCTCTCTCCTCCTCCTCCCTCCTCCCTCAGCCGAGAATGTAATAAATAATAAGTACCTACATATTATTGCTTCAGTTTATAATCGTAACAGGTCGAAAAGTTCAAATTCATTTTTCAATAAATGATGATGCTTCCAAACACTTTGGGCTGCTACAACTGGAGTTTCCCCTTTCTGATTAATAAAGGTTCATTGATATTTACATTAAGGGGGATTACATGCAGTGTTCATATTAAAGAACTTCTGTTTGTTCCAGAAATGATATTTTCTCAGGCTTATAAGTGCGTGAGCTGCGAGCACCGGAGCCTCGCAGCGGCGAAACTGAGGCTCCGTGGTAAACTGTGAATGAACAGCCGTTTAGGAGCCGAAAGAGCCGGCTCTTCTTAGTGAGCAGAGCCAAATGATCCGGCTCACGTAAAGAGATACTAGGCTTGTTTGAGACAAGCGAGACCTGCGCAGTTGCGATCAACGTCTTGCTAGTGCGTTGCATGATGATTAGTCATTTTGTCCGACTTGTTCTGGAGGCCCGCCCACATGAGACGTTGAAATCTCGCGGGACAAAGACGCCCGCAGCCTTGAGAGCTAGGCGCGGCGAGGCGGCGCAGTTCCTCTCCACGGGCTGCGGAAGCGAAATGCTTGATGGGAAACGACTCGCTGGTATCTCGAGCTGAGCGCTCATTGGTGGTTTTTACCACGTGCTGCTGATGAAACTCTCCAATTGGCTCGGCAAAAGTTTGTTGTTGTTTTGTGTCAGTTTTACGTCGCCACATCCATTCCCATTTTTCATAATTGTTCCACAATGTTTATCATCATGAAATTAATATCTTTATATTTTATACTATAGGCTACTTGCACTGCTTACCGTTTTCATACGTTATATATCTTAGCACATTCATACACACTGTTCATACTGCTCACAGGCTGATATCTAGTGTATTCATACCCCTCACTGTTTATTCATCATTTAATTCATTCTATATTTTATTCTGTAGATTGTGTACATTACTTTTCACTTTACTGCTTGTTGCACCTGGTTAGAAGCTAAACTGCATTTCGTTGTCTCAGTACCTGTAATATGTGCAATAACAATAAAGTAGAATCTAATCTTGAGCAGGAACAAATGTATTTACTTAGTAGCCTACATATCTGACATTAACGATTAAACACATGTGTGCATTCTTTATAAATGCAAACCGAGTCAAGCCGACTCCGGAGGTGGCGGTATGCACCTTCAAGTGGTTTGCAATCCGCCAAAAAACGGAGAGAAGAAGAAGAAGAAGACGAAGCCGACTCCGAGCTGTCCGACTTCAGGTGAGCTTTTTGAGACCTCCCCCGGCTGCGATCGGCTATTCTCGTCTACTTTCGAGGCGAGCCGCAACGCGTCTCAAACAAGCCTACTATCTATGAAGGGACAGCTCAATTCAAGTCACACACAACGTGTGTCACAACGTGACGTCACACCCCCTGCTCTCGGGGTGGACGCCCTCTGAGCCCTGGTCTGACGGAAACACTGTGTCTGGGTTTCCCCTCGACCGGAGACGATGAGATGATGTTCTGCATTTTTTGCTTTGTGTGTCTCGGTCATGTCTAATAACGCAGAACAATGGTGTCTTTTGTCCTCCATATTTAAATAAAAATGCCATCATTAAAAATAAATCACAATAGCAAATTCACATGGACAGATAAGGAGATAATGGGACACTGGGCATAGACTTGTTGGAGCCTCCCCCCCCCCCCCCCCCCCCTTCCTAAACAGGCACAAGAAACGTGCCTTTGTGATCTATGTATAGTAGTTTTGCCTGTTTTTGTAGCGGTTTTGCATAAAAAAAATTGTTATATATATTTGAAGTAACTTTGTCATTGTGATAATCTTAATGTCTATTTCAGTAATTGTGTATCTCCCTTTAATTATTTAGTGATTGCTTTGCATTTTTTTCTGGTTTTGCATTTACTTCATCTTTTTTGGGACCTTTTGACCCAATTGTTATTTGTCTCCGTGTAGGCATTGTACATCAAATAGTGGTTGTTAGTCTATTCGTAGCCTTTTTGCATCATTTGTATTGCTTTGCGTCTTCTTTTAGTCTTTGAGGTGATTTTTGCTGTATTTTGGGTTTTTCTCTAGCAACTCAATGCCATTTATAAGCAATATTTGTAGGTTTTGTGACATTTAAAATCGCTTTCCTTGTTTTGTGTCCGTTTCTTTTTTATTTGTGATGTCTTCTGTTTCTTGATTGTTTTGCATGTCTATTTTTTTCCCATTTACATTTTGTAGGTCAGGCCCTCTGACACTCATTTTCTTAAGAGTGCTGTACTTAAAACATCTGCATACATCAGTGAGGCATCTGGAAAACTGGAATTTATATTTTTACTCAATTCATTCAAAAAGCCCCAATGGTTAATCTAGAAATAATTAAACAGTAATCCTGACCTCCAGCTTTAAACTAACACTTCAGGAGCATTTAATGTCAGTTTTCAGCAGCTGAAGATCTCTGCAGGGTTCATTTGATAACTTACACTAACACTCACTTTGTGTGTCCTCAGTGAGCACACATCTCAGTGAAAGTTTCAGACATGTAGACCAGCTCCCTAACAATAAAGCAGCGTGACCTTTGACCCGAGCGTGTCGGGCTGTGGTCTCATTATCTCGCTGTCTCCATTAATCTCAATCTGCAGACGACACTCTGCTGCTGCGCTCAGTTAAAGTATCACTTTCATTAAACATTGAATTACTTGTTCTGCATCACGTGAGCACAAACCGTTAGAGACTGTTTTATCATGGTGAAAATCACAATTATCATGGCTAATATTAAAATCAGTATTTATATTTATATTAATATTTAAAGGTGGGGTAGGTAAGTTTGAGAAACCGGCTCGAGATACACTTTTTGTTATATTCCATGGAATGCTCTTAACATCCCGATAGCAATGAATATCTGAAGTGCTTTGACAAAAAATCCATAAAAAAATGTCATCTGTGGAAGCTGTAATACTGTAAAAAGTCCAATCCGTTCAGCCGGGCCGGCTAAACGGATTGGATTGCCGCCTTGTCTGTCAGCCTTCCATCTCGTGCACGCACAAATGTATCCCGTGCCCTCATTGGGCGTGCCCTCATTGGGCGTGCAGTCATTGGGCGTGCATTGCAGCAGTACTTCAATGACTCGCCAGCAACAGGCGGCCACTCTCACCAGTCTGCTGACGTCATGTGCGCGTTCATGTGTGTTGGAGGAGGTGCTCTGTAAGGAAGTCTGAAGGAAGGGGCGGATTCTTTTCGGCTGTGTACTTTCAAATGTTAGTGCACTCGAGCCGGTTTCTGAAACTTACCTACCCCACCTTTAAGTATTTAACATGACATTGGAAATATGAGTACAGTTAATTATTTTGAACAATTTATCCTTTTAAATTGTCATCATGATTTTTTATGGTTTTTATTCAGATCAAAAATAATTAGATCAAAAATAAATCATGTATATATATTAGGGCTGTCAGTCGATTAAAATATTTAATCGCATGATTGTCCATAGTTAATCGCGATTAATCGCGAATTAAATGTACCTTAGAGGAATATTTTTCAAGTTTTTAATACTCTTATCAACATATGAGT